ATTCCTATTGGGTTTTTGAGGTTATGTGCAAAGATTTCCAATATTTGGAGATACATATTATCTATTTATTTGAAGTAAAATTTTTTTTATAACAGTTTCCTATTACTGTAAAGGTGGGCGTAACCCCGCCCCTAAATGGTTTAATATATATATCTTCCAAACCGCTAAAGCAACCAAATTTGCTGAGAGGAAGTCCTTTTAGCCCTTTTTCATACGCTATGAAAATGGGCAAAATCAGATAATAACCACGCCCACTTCCCATACAACAGCTATGTCAAAATATACTAAAAGTGCGATAAGTGGCGAAATAAATGCGCCATAAGCATTAATTTTCAGAAATTAGATGATAGGGAAGAGCTTTATAGGAGGAGGTTTAAAAATTCCTTTAAAGATTGTTTTTTTTTTTTTAGTTTTTTTAAACTATAATTTATTACTTGCTAAAATCAATATAAGCAGACACGCATTAATTGATTCCACCTGGACTTATTGGGCTTCCTCTGTGCAACTTCATTTCATTATAACCGAGTGTGTTTCAACACCCACCCACCCACTATTAATTATGTGCGCCTTTATTTTGCGCTTGCGACTCCGTCCAACTCTTCTTTCTCGCAATTCTCGTCGACTTTTCATTTCTTCATTCATTCATGCAACGTTTCATTCAGATAACGACGACGTTAGGTCGCTCGTATACCACAACGCACACACACACACACACAGACACGCTCACATCCAACTATGTGGCACTAGCTGTGCGTCACAGCACAAACGCAAAGCCATCCAACCAAACCGCCCCCCCAACAAGTGTGCCTATTTATGTGTCCATGACTGTAGTGCAATGCGCTCAGCTGTTTATGTTTCTGTTTCTTTAGAAAGTGCAGTGGCGCCTTTCCAATTTGTAAGCGCGTTGGTTTGTTTGTTGCTGATTTCTCGCCTTTTTCAAGTTCTAATGAACTTTGCTTTGCCTGTGAGTTCTGTTTCTTGCCTTTCAGCCTTTCAATCGGGCCTATGTACCAATACATGGCGCGCTTTATTTACGCTACAAAAACACACTCTCCTTTCTATGTGCGCCATACCTTCAGCAGACAGTGGTTCGTCAGCATTTTTGTGCGCTTAGTAGGCAGGCGTCGACAGCTCGGCTTGACGGATAAAGAAGTCAGACATGGCTTTATTTAGTGAAGAGCAAAGAAAAAGCAAATATTATGTATGCATGTGTGTGTGCATGTGGTTGTTGTAATGCACCGGCTGCGGTGCGCTTAAAACCATGAATCGGCATGTCGCCGTTACTGTTTTTGTTGTTGTTGTTGAACAACTTCAGCAAGTGGAGCAGACATCTTTAGCGTTGAGCCTTAAGTGTTGTAGCTGGCGTCGGCAACCCTTTTATTTAAAATTTTTTTTCCAACACTTTTTGTTTTTAGAACCGTCTACAAGGCTGTCTGGGCGCAAGCGTCAATGAGACAGCGCTTGGGTGGTAAACGGGTCGACCGTTGCATTTGTTCATACCATTGGGGGCAGTCTGGCTGCTTTGGAAACAATAAAAGTGTCAACCACCATGCACACTCAACCCCGCCGCTCCAGCTGCATACCTGGCTGTATGTGTCGGAAATGTATTTGTATGGATGTCTTAATTACTCGCCCTCAAGCAGGCACTCCTTGTAGGCATACATTGTTTGTATGTATGTGAAGAGCTCATATTTCGTTTTTTACTTACGTTGCCCCGGTGCGTCATTCAGTTACCTCTATATAGATATATGCATATATATGTTTGTATTATTTATAAACTTCTGCATTCTTTAGACCAAAATGCGCACCGTTGGTTAAAAAACAAAATACCAAGTGGCCAAGTTCAAAGTCATTGTACGTTCAATCAAAATGTCATCCTATTATTCAGCTAGCAGATTTCAGCATTTTCTCAATTTTTGTTTTGCGCATTCCTCATGTGATTCATGCAGATTCACAGCCTGCGATGATTTGCTGGATTGTGGAATTTTCATCTATGCCATTTTTGTTGACGACGATTTAACTACCATCACTCAAACCATTGACGTAAGCTACTAGCGTTAAATGCTTCACTCGAACAACATTTTAAGGGCAATGACAGCAGGTAACCAAATTCCTGCCAACTGATAATTAAGTTAAGGCCGCAATTCGGATTAACAATCAAATAGAGAAAATAGCGAAAGTTATTCTTCGTCTGTTGAAACTTTTAGCGTCTAAGTTTAGGTTTGTTGAATTGTTGAAAGAACAACAATACAATGATTTTACAAGCTTCAAACTTTTGAGAAACCTCTTTACAAATGCTCTCTTGTTTGTCACTTTATAACCTTTTAAACACGAAAAGCTACCGAAATATCCTCTATAGTCCTTTATCTATGGTAAACTCTCACTATTTCTTACCATTCCAAGTATAACCCTGGCTAGATTGCATGTGCCCTCAGCTAACGATTGAATCTATGTGTAGAATTACATACTCCTTGCTGTAAAAATAATTGTTGCTTTTTCGAAACCCCATATCGAATCTACTTATAATCTAGTGAAAAACAAGCTGTAACCTCTAAAGTTGTTATAGCCACTTGCAAGTTGAGAATAATTAATTTTTTTTTTGGAAAATTTTGTTTGATTGGACATTTTATTGTATTTAATAAATTAGTAAAAATAATGTACGTTCACAGAGTGCAAAGTATTTTACTAATTGGCGATTATTTTTGAAAAATTTTGGATTTCCTTTCGTAGCGGATCTACAGAAGAACCTTCGAAAAAAGTTGTCTGGAAATTCAAAAACCGAAAAATTGTATTATTATTGTAGTTGAATACGGGCAATGATCGAAGCTGTAGTAAAAATTTTGATTTTTAATAAATTGGCGACTTTTCAAAAAAAAAAATTGTTATCAAAAATGTTATTCCTTCGATTATTACCTGATAAATATATATATCTAAGAAGGTCGTGTGAAAATTTTAAGTCGACCGGTCTAGCCTCTGAAAACAGCGTTTCAAGAAAAGCGCCTTAAACATTTTTGGAGCCGATTACATTAAGTTAGAAAAATCTTACAAATACGCTCTTATCTCCAGACTATTTGCCGAAATAAAATAAATAATGAAAACAGCATTTTGAATACATTTAAGAAAATGTGTTTATAATCTAAAAATTTATAATATTTTTTGCAAGTTCTCTCTTCGCCATCTTCTTTAAATGATCTAATTTATGCATATGGTTTGTGACACGAAAATCTGTTTAAAAGTACAGGTAGAATAACTCTAACGAGGAAATATAAATATCATATACCAAGGCTAAAATGAATGATGATTCCAAAAACATGTTTACTCATCTTACAGACTTTCTATTTTCATTTAAGTGGTGCACATAGTGTGCTAGTCCTAAAAAACGTCGATTTTTGAGAATTGAAACAAAAAAACCTTCTGTCGAGTGTTTTGAAATGTTCAGGGTATATTCATATACATGTCTCAAGAACACACAGTAAAATTTTTGAAAAAAAAAAAAATATAATATTATATTAACGTGTTTTAATTAAGAGCATAAGCTAGGTATTGGGCAAAGAAAAAACAAATAAAGTGAAAATTTTATTTTTGGCAGACGTTTAAAAAAAAAACTGTATTTGAAAGAAGATAATTGTAATTGAATTCAAGCCCTTGTAAAGGATATCTTGAAGACCTGTGTAAAATTTCATTAAGATCGGTTGATTAGTTCGCGAGATCTTGACAACCGACTTTGAAAACACATTTTCGAGAAAAACGCTTTTAAAGTTTTAAGTGACTATATACCTGACCTCGAGCGAGCAACTTTTCAATGCTGTATCTCCAAAACTAGTACTGGGATCAACTTGACAATATTCTAGAGACGTTATAGAGTTAAATAAGACAATAAATTTTTGTTTTGTTTTTTAAGTCGTGAAACCAATGTAACCCCTTAAATGGCTGTAACTCAAAAACTATTTGAGATATCGATTTGTAATTTTAGTATGTTATTTTTAAAGGTATAAACTATCGGAATATGATAAATATCAAAAATTTTCAAAATTTCACACTGGGTGTGCCCTTAACATAGTTTTTTTTCTAAGTTTTCTTAACTTAATTAGTTTAATTCTTCATCGAGAGGCCTTATTGTTCATGAAATACTATATATTTTCGAGCTTATCAGAGATATCCATCTTACCAGTTTGGTAGTTGACAGCTGTATTTTTGTTGAAATGTTGTTTTGTCGAAAATGTCTTTGAGATGTTGCTGCAATTTGTTCAAACTTTAAACTTTAAACCAATCAATATGCTCGATATGTTTTGCTGCCAGGGAAGAACCAATGATCGGTGGAGTTTGGAATGTTGCTGAATTTTTTTTTTTGTTGAATAAAATTATAAGGGGTTTCAGAGCTTCAGCTTATAAGCAACGTCTTCTGCCTTTTTAAATTTTTTTTTGGTATTTTAAAAATTCGCTTTTTAGTTTTTTTTGGCAAACGTATTAATGCTAATCGCACAGCTTTAATTGATATTAGTCATCTATTTAGAAAGATCAAGTTTTGCTGCTCCTCAAGGTATGCAATGGTATGTAAATTAGTATTTATTAGCAAGGTTAGTATTTATGAATTCAAAAGGTTAAAACTGGTGTTATATAATGATTTTTGCACGAATGCACTCTTTGTTTAATCGCATAATGTATATATAAATCGTACTCGTTCTATGTATAGTATAAATATGTAAATACTCACGTGCACCCAACCGCATGCAAATTATCTATTTGTCTAATATTCCTACACTCACCTAACAAGCTTGTATATACCTATCTGTGTACATAAATAAATTTATCGAGAAAAGCTAAGCATCTTACATTTATCGCTTTGCATGGCTCTTTAACACTTTCGAAAATAATGTGTCTAAAATTTCTTAACTTAAAACGGTGCTTTGAAAAGTGTCACACACACACACATACATTTATAAAACTTTGTGTATTCACGAATTTATTCTTTCATCGCTATACGTATGCGATTTATACAGAATTCTTGCCTGAAGAGCCGCTAAACGCCTGGGTTTTGGTCGTGATCATTTTTGGCGCCACGCTCTTCATCTGTGTATCGGTACTTTTGTCGCTATGCTTCTGGCAGCGGCGCAAACGCCATATGAATGGACGCACCTTCCCGCCAGACGATTCTGTATGCGATCCCATTCTGAATGGCAACACTATACAGGACATAATCGAGATGACAACATCGGGTTCCGGATCGGGTGAGTAAATGAGATATATGTGATAAAAAAAATATGAGCATTAATTGTTTTTTGTACTTACTTGCAACATGCAGCCGGTTTGCCGCTATTGGTGCAACGCTCCATTGCACGCCAAATACAACTCTGCCATGTTATTGGTAAGGGTCGCTTCGGTGAAGTATGGCGTGGTCGCTGGCGTGGCGAAAATGTCGCCGTAAAGATCTTCTCCAGTCGCGAGGAGTGCTCTTGGTTTAGGGAAGCTGAAATTTATCAGACTGTGATGTTGCGTCACGAGAATATTTTAGGTTTCATAGCTGCCGATAACAAGGGTAAGAAGTATTGTTGCGTCTGCATTTAGGTGAAATCGGTAAATTTCGCTAAATGCATCCGCCATGCTATCAATCAACACTTTAACTTGCTTTCCCTTTTCCAAATTCCTCAAACGTTTTCCAAACACATTTTCGTGCGTTTTACAAAAAAAATTTCGTGCATTTTACAAACACATTTTCTTGCGTTTTCCAAACAAATTCTCCTGCGTTTGCCAAACAAATTCTCATTCGTTTGCCAAACACATGTTCATGCTTTTTCTAGACACATTTCCATACATTCTAATGGCACTCTAGTTCTGACGTATGTATGTCTGTATATTCACTCCGTCATTCATATTATTGTGCACCCTCAGATAATGGCACTTGGACCCAACTTTGGTTGGTCACTGACTACCATGAAAACGGTTCATTATTCGATTACCTCACCACGCATACAGTGGATACGAAAACTATGCTCAATATGGCGCTCTCCATCGCCACCGGACTGGCACATTTACATATGGATATTGTGGGTACACGTGGCAAGCCAGCAATAGCACATCGTGACCTCAAATCGAAAAATATTCTTGTCAAATCCAATCTCAGCTGTGCGATAGGCGATCTCGGCTTGGCTGTGCGTCATGTAGAAAAGAATGATTCCGTCGATATACCCTCCACACATCGTGTGGGCACCAAACGTTATATGGCACCCGAAGTGCTGGACGAAAGCATGAATGCACAGCATTTCGATTCGTATAAGCGTGCCGATGTGTATGCTTTCGGTTTGATATTGTGGGAGATTGCGCGTCGTTGCAACATCGGCATGATATACGATGAATATCAATTGCCATATTTTGATGTTGTACAACCTGATCCTAGTATTGAGGAGATGAAGAAGGTGAGTACCGTGTGTTTACACAGCAATAACTGATTTTTGTATAAATTCATTTCTAGGTGGTTTGCATTGATAAAATGCGTCCGAACATACCGAATCGTTGGCATGCCTCCGATGTGCTGCACGGCATGGCGAAAGTGATGAAAGAGTGCTGGTATCCTAATCCGGTGGCGCGTCTTACGGCGTTGCGTATAAAAAAGACTCTGGCCAATATAACGGTCGAGGATAAAGTGAAGAACTGATTGTAGTTGTAGTGTGCAGCCATTTTGGCGTGAAACTAACGGATATAAATTGTACTATTTAAATGATGGGGAAGGCTGTAGCCAAGCATCACATATATTTTAGAGTGGTGCTGAGCGCAAAATTCACCTTCTCTACCTCCCTTTTCTGTTTACTTTTCTGCCAAGTTTGTTGAGAAAATACTCAATGTGCGGAAAAGTAATGGAAAAATTACCTAAAGAGAAGAGCATACCTTAAAATACCTAATAATTAACAACAAAAAAAAAAAAAAAAAAAAACGAAAAAAAACAACAAAAAACACAAGAAAAGAGATATGGTAAACAGAGAAATTTATAAAGCTGTTATAATTGATGCAGAGCATTCTATTAAAGCACTAAAAGTTGTATTTGTAATTTTAAACTATAATTTGTAATAACATGTGTAAATGCGAACTTACGTAACGTAATGTAATGTAAAATGTGTACTAGACATAAGAGAGCGAGCGAGGAGCGCAGGCCACAGCAACACATGTTTGAAACTAATTGAGAGCAGCAGCTTGGTAAAAACACAAAATAATTGATAATATTTAAAATTATTTTGAAATAAGTTATGAAATATGTGTTTATGTGTGTGTGTGTGGCTGCCTGTGCATGCATGTGTGTGAATAATAAGTTAGTTAGAGAAAGGAGAAAAAAGTGAAGTCTGAGGAAACGTTGTGAATGTATGTGTGCTGATAAAGAAATAGCTGTAAATATTTTGGAAATGTACACAGTCCTGAGATTTTCCTATGGCAGCTGCTAATTTAGAATTACAAGCTTACGCATAATTAAAAAAATTTTTTTTTGATAATTGAAATTTTTTTGGTAATTAAAATTTTTTTTTGATTATTAAAAATTTTTTGAATAATTTTTGAATGCTGAAACGAATTCGTTTACATTTCGGAAGGTCGCTTAAAAGCGGTAACTAAGCAAATATTGTGTAAACGTAAGGAGAGAGCGAAAATGCTTGTAGTTGAGAATGCCGGTAATTTATAAGAGTTTCGAAAAAAGCTGGAATATTAAAAATATTTTATTTATTTATTATTATTATTATATTTTAAATGCGTTAAACATTTAACAATAGTTTTCAAACAAATTTGAGTACAGAAATTTCAACAGAATAATAAAAATTTACTGTAATTATGAATACATACATATTTGTATGTCATAAGGTAACAGTTTCCAATATTTTTTTTTTTTTTTTAATAATACTACAAAAAGTTCATATTTGTTTATCTTTTAAGAAATTTATTCCAAAAAAATTAAAACATCAACAAACTCTTACGAGCGTCTCCACTAATTGAAAAGCATACAGAACTGCCATCAATTAAGCAATTTAAATAAGCTCATTTGCATTTGTAAGCATAATTAAAGCATGTATACATATGTATGTATGTAAGTGCTCATAACGGCAGTTGCAGCAAATTAACGTTTAGACAGCGAACACATCTAGCAACAACTATACACACAAACAAACAAACAAACAAACAAAAAAAGACTCTGACTAAAGACTGATACATAGCAACAGTTACAGTGAAAATCGCCATACCGTTAATTAGTAACCTTTTTAGAGCAATTTTGGGAGCTAAATACAATGTAATAATATTGATAATAATATTATATTTTATTTAAACTTTTACAAAAAAGTTGTTTTCCTTTTTAGTTCTTTCTTTCCTACTTCTCTACTCAACTCATTTCGTACTCGCATTAAGATTTTGCCATTTTTAGAACATAATATTAAGACAAAAAAAGTAAAGTTTAAAAACAAAAAAAAAAGCAAAAACAAAAGGAACCAAACATGCATAATGTAAAAACTACTATATAAAGACACTTTTTAAATAATGAAAACCAAAAGAACTCAGGAATTGCCAGTCGTAATGTATGTAAATAATATAAAAAATATCACTTGTTGACTCGATATGTGCTTTGTTGATGTGTGCGAAAACTTGCAGCAGAACCACCTACACGAAAAAAATTAAACACCGCTAAATTGGCATTTCTTGCTTTTTCCTTACGTTTGCAAAAAACAAGTAAATGCTATTATCAATATTTCGTTTTTGTTTCTTTTTCACTAAATACACAAATATATCGTTATAAGTTTGTATATTTTATTTTCAATGTAAATATACCGTTACTTATGCGCAAAAAATAATTTTCCAAATTGTGTGTAGTGGTTGACCAACGAAATTTTAATCAAAAGAGTTTATATAAGTGCAGAGTCCTTTAATGTTTTTTTTTTTTTAAATTATTTTTCAATGAATTGGAATGTTTTCCTATCGAGACAATATTAGGCTGTCATTTTGTTGTATGTAGAATATATAATTGTTTTTATTTTATTAACTTTTTTTTTAAATTTTTTAATTAAATTTTTTTAGATATTTGATTTTTCTTTTAGATTTTTAATTGAATTCTTTTTAGTTTTTGTTTTTGAATTTACTTAATTTTTTTTATTTTATTTTTGAATTTATTTAATTTTTTTTATTTTATTTTTTTTTTATTAAATTTTTTTTATTTTATTTTTCTTTTTAAATGTACCACCTTTAATTAAAATATTTCATAAATACCGTAAACTTTGAATTAATTATATTTTTTTAATTGTTTTTTTCTTTAGATTTTTTAATATACTTAAATTTTTTTTAATTTTTTTAGATTTTTATGTTTTTTATAAATTATAATTTAGTGTTTTTTTGTAATATTTTTTAAGGTTTTTTAAATTCTTTATATTTTTCTGTTTCACTGAACCACTTTTAATTAGAATATTTCCTCCGTTCTAATAACAATGAAGTCTACAAAAGCGGCAGTGTCTCCATTATAATCACGGTAGCATCAACATGTCCCTAAACAATTTAAGAAGTAATATATTTTCCTATAACAAAAACAATAGTCAAATATAACTTCCTTTTTTTCTTCTAAAATACACATTGACTTTTTTGAAAAGCAGCCACAGTTAGAAAAACAGTTTAAAAATCCGTCTTTCTCAATATAAAGAAATTAAAAATAGTAATTTCAATCCATTTGACACATTTTTGTTGTAATAACATGAGTTATACAAGTTTTCTCCTATTTTCAAAGAAGTGATTAACTAACAACTATTTTTGGCTTCTTCAACTTATATAAACTTTGTTGTACGAAAAAGGCAACAACTATTAATATTATATTTGTTTACTTGACTTAACAAAATGGCTGACATAGCTATTAAATAAATTATGTTTGAAGTTTTGGTAAATAATCAAGTTATGATGCTAACTAAAGTACGAGGAAAATTGTAACACTCACACAAAAATATCGAATACATTGCAAGATTGTAGCAAAAAGATGCTAACAGAATAAACAATTCACTTTATTTCCCTTTGTGTTGAATTATGTAATACAAAAAAAAAATTGATTCAAAGCGTCACGCTTATTTTTTTAAACTCAAATTTCTAACCGTTGTAATTTTTTTAATTTAATTACATAATTGCAGAATTTAAATAACTTTGTAAGCTGCTAAAATTTGTGCACAAGTTTGCCATAACGCGTTTGGTATTAAATTCCTTACATAAACTTTGAAAAAATAAATAAAAAAAGTCATGAGTGAGTATATTTATTTAGGGCTTAACGATTATTGTTAATACTTTTTCGGGCTACAAATTAACGAAAATTTAATTAATTATAAAAATTGTGCTAAGAACTTATGCTCCTATAAGATTTAGATGTGCTAACAATTAAAAATTTGTATCCTATCCTAAAATGCAAATCAACTCTTTTGGACAAAGTAGCTTAGAACGAGCAAAAATAAGTAAAGAAAATCATTTGAATTGAAGAATAAAACTATTTTATTGTGTAAAAATCATCATCCTGTTAAATTTAAGTATGTTGTTATTAATTTGTATTCCTAAATTTAATTCCTTATCATTTACTTATGTTTAAGCTATTAATTTAAGTATCATTGCTATTAATGAATAACTAACTGTAAATAGTGTTTGTATAAAAAATTACATATGTAAGTTTAATTAATTATATTATGTAGTTATGTATTTAAGTCTGCCTTTTTGCGCTTATCTGTGAGTTTGTTGTTAACCTATAATTACTGCATGTATGTGTATGCACTTAGTGTTTTTGTAATGTATTTTGTTTTATAAAATTTGTATGTTTTCTAAAAACGACACAACGCTGTAAATGTAACACAATTTCTGCTAAATTAAAACAAATCATAATAATAAAAATAAAAAATAATAATACAAATGTAAAAAATACTAACAAATATATACAAAACAAAAAAATAAATAATAACAATGAAATAATAATAAAAAATAATAATAATAAAATAAAAAATAATAATAAAAAATAATAATAATAAAATAAATAATAACAAAACTAATATTTCCGATAAATAAATAAAAAAACTAATGAAATAAATAATAATAAAAAAATTAATAACAATGAAATTAGTTATTATAATGAAAATAATAATTATAATGAAAATAATAATTATAATGAAACTAATAATAATAATGAAAAAAATATTTCTAATAATTATTACTTTCTTAATAACAACAATAAAGTGTGTCTATGTGTTCTTAACATTCAAAAAATTGCTAATAAGCATTAATTTTGTTAAAATATGTTTTCTCTTTTGTTAAGGAATATTATCAAAACACCTAATAATAATATTTTTTGTTGATTTTTTCTTTAAGCAAATATTTATAACTTTTTAAACATATGTATATTCTTTTCTTAAATATTGATATTTAACTGCGCAAAGTTCATTAAACTGTTTTTATTGTTAATATTTATGTATGTATATGTATGTAATTGCTGCACTGTATTAAGAAATATTGTGAATAAATTGGAAATTTAAGAAAGAAGTAAAGTAAAAACATAAACTTATGAAATCAAAAGATAAAAATTAAATTTTTTAACAACTAATATTAAAAAAAACGCTTATTTTCAATTTCTTTTTTAATTTTCAACTATTGTTTTGTAATTTTCAACTTTCCAATTTTTTTTTTTTTTGTAAATTCTCTGTTTTATTAAAAGTTCTATTAAAAAGTAACGTGAAATAATATGGTTGTTAGAACTCAAACTGCTAAACTGCATTTTTATTGATCACATAATATAAGTAATTTTTTAATATTTCTACTATATTGATAAAGAAAAATACATATATATATATTATATAAATTATAAATTAATTAAATTACAGACATAAATTTTTTGTAATGTAAATACTACAAATGTAAAAGCTAAATATAAAATAACCAATTATTTCCGTTAAAAACAAAATGGTGGGTCATATTTGCACAGCAAAAACCAAAAGGAAAAATGTACGCTGTAAAGTACCATGCATTGAAAAACTATTATAAATTGATAATAACATAAATTATGTGCGCTAAATATGGAAAACTAAAAGAATTGTAAGCAAATGAAACATATACGAAAATTATAATAAAAAAGAGTCTAATGTTAGTGTTAAGTGGCGTTTTTACTGGCACTTTAAATAAAATAAAAAAATAAAATGAAAATCACTTTTGTTAGTTTAAATATAAAAGTGCGATCCACAGCGGTGCCCATCTGCGTATTTGTTGCAATTATAAGTTCTATACGGTGTGTATATATATTTATGGGTAAGTATATTTGCGTTATCAGAAGCTTGACTTGAAAGACAAGTGTTATAAATATGCGAGTAGCTGATGCGATTGGTTGGGTGTTGCAAGTTGCGTTGAGAAATTCACTAAATTAATTACATATGTATATTTTTTATAAATCAAATATATTTTTGGCTTTTATGATGAGTTGAATTGTTAAATTTCGTTAAAAAAATATTTATTAAAATTAACTTATATGCTAAATCCTAAAATTATAATTGAAAAAAAGTTGATTAAACTCTATGGACCAAAAGTTAGAAACTTTTAAAAGTGGGAGGCCCTGCTGTTTGTTTTACTTTTCTTAACTTTCCAATGCTTTATTTAAATTGATCACATACAAAATGATCAAACCTGAACAAATTCGTATTGTTCACGTACTTTAATACAAATCTTTATTGCCGTCTTCACGATAGGCGCATGAGCCAAACCAACGCTTAATCTAATTTTCTGTCCTTTTTTCATAAGCCCCGGCTGAGACTTTTTCAGCGACTTTTTTTTTTATTATCACTAATGATTTGTTTGATGAATGTAGGATCCTCAGCTACGTTGTCAAGCATCTCTTTACGGCTTTATTAGACTTCGTCTTTGCAAAAGAATCAGGTCTTTTACGAGGTACGAGTCTAAAATTGATATGCTCTGCTATCTATCTAATGTCGACACGACGATTTTCAAGCACTGTTTCTTTAGCTTTTTCGATGTTATCGTCATTAACAGCGGTAGTTGGATAACGCACATGAGGCAAGTTTGTATCCAAATATTATTCCATCTTAAAAATAATTGACGTTCAGAAATCCTTACTCCCCCTGTAGATCTGCTACATTGTTATTTTTTTGGCAGCAAGTTTTCAGTTCATAGAATCTGCGTATTAGAGTCTTTACAAAATTTTAACATTTATAAGATGATTTATAAGATATAACAAATATAAGATGACGTTGTTAGACGGCCAGCACATACTCACCCCAAAATGTTATAAAGCCGAAGTCTGCAACCTTGCGATCAAGCAAATTTGATTTCGTCATTTGATCACTCATTCAAGACTCAACTGGATGCAGTTAGCTAGGAACGAACCACTTATAAAAATCTAATGACTCCTTCATGGATCACTGTGGATGGTGTTGTCAAAACATCGTCTACTTTAGATGACGGGTTAAAACTTTAAACGAAAATTAAGCATTTTTTGCAGAATTGGGGCCATGTTACTTTAGTAGATACCATACAAACTTATTTTTCGCATTATTCTTCTATCACACTATGCAATTTCCAGGTTTTTGCACAAAGAGTTATTCTGGGATCATTACCTCACAAATATATTTTAGAAGGTCGCAAACATCGTTTTGAAAAAACACCATTTAAAATATTTGGGGCCGATTAAATTATTTTAAAAAAATCTTACAAATACGCTCATACTTCCAAAACCAAACCATTTACCGGATCAACTTCTAATTTTCGTAGAATGTTCTCAAGTAAACGTACACTCGATATATGTATATTTAAAAAAAAAATGCTTTTTTGAAATTCACATGTGGATATAATCCCTTATACTAGATGATAATCATAAATGTCTCAATTGGTTTTACGACCATCGGTTGTTTAACGGGGTTTTCACCGAAGCAGCATTTCCTAACATTCCTTTCTCTTCAACAAGCTGCTCATTTGTCGGAACCGCCGATATCAGACTACTTTAGCATATAGCTGCCATACAAACTGACCGATCAAAATCACGATAAAAATCCTTTTATACCCTTTTATCCTATAAGAAACGCTGCTGTGAAGGGTATTAAAGCTTCAGTATAACCTTAGTTAACGTTTTTTCTTGTTTTTTTTTTTTAATGTGTTTGTCAACAATAAAACAACTTTTGGCTTTTCAAAGCCCTTGCGGGCCTTACTATATGCTCTCATTTATTTATGTACTTGTTTTCTTATTTCTTGCACATATAATATTTAATTTACATATTTAAATACATATTACGAAAATGTTTCAAAAACTTTAATACGAAGTATAGAAAACAAAAAATTGAAATTTCAAATGAAAACAATTCTCATATGTTCGCTCATTAGCAAATGCGGCTGCCTCTCCAGCGGCTATGCGCCTTCTGTCGCATTTCAACGGATACTTTGGTTCGCTTTTATTAAATTACACTTACAACTATAATAATAATTTATATTTGTTGTAATGAGAAAAATTGCACATGCATTACAAATGTAGTTTCGGAATTTCAAACACTCAGGATATGCAAATGACTTGACTTTAGTGTTACGCAAAGAATTTAAATACAATATTAATTTTTGTTGTAATTTGAAACAATTTAATTTTGCTTTACACTTGAATTATTTTTTAATTACTTAGTATATATATGTTAATACATTGAGATTTACACAAATGATTGACTCATTAAGGGATATGCATTGTATCAATACTACTTCTGCCATAATTGCAATATTCCAATAATTTGTAGCTTAAAGTTCGCTTTAATTGCATTGTATATTATTTGATAATCTTAATGTTAATAATATTTTGCTTTGCTTCAACAATGTATTTTTTTTAAATGCACTTAATAATATTTTTGAAATATTTATATATATGTATATATTTTATTTGTATTTTATATGTATACATATATACATTTTTATTTATTTATTTATATATATATATGTGTTTTATATATATATTTATATTTATATTTTTATTTATATTTATATATATATATTTGTTTATAATTATGCCTCAGCCAGTATAATTTGTGGTTTTTGTCAGCAAATCATTGCAATTATTTTTTTGTTTTGGTATTTATTTCTAATAATATATAGCATATACATATATATGATTTTACAACATCTTCCGCTACTTTACATTTAAATTTGAAATTTTTTATTTACTTTTAAAACGTTTTTTTTTTAACTTTTCTTTGAAGTTTTTAAATCAAATGTTTATTTTATGTTTTTTTTATTGCATTGCGCACACTAAAACATATATGTATGTGTATATAGATTTGCTTATATGTATACATAAATACATATGTATGATCTCTTTGAGTATATATAGTTTGTTACAATAATATAATTTGTAATACATTTATAATTCATTAAGTATGTGTGTGTGTGTGCTAATAGCATTAACAATTAAATAGTTTCTTCAATAATTTCCTGCAGTCAAACAATTTTCATACATTCTCCGAATAAATGATATGCTAGTTTTTGCAATATTTGTTTTACCTTATTTTTAATTTAAATTTATTTTTTTCTTCGACTTTAAGTTTAACTTTGCTTGATATGTTATTGTGATCTTAAATCTTGTTAGAGTTTCATTGTAATTTTTGTTTTTGTCTTTGGTTTTCTTCTCAAAATCGTAGTTCAATATGATTGTTTTCATTGCCTCCGTTTACATTGCATATCGCGCCGACTCGAGTATGTCCTGTTTGAATTTCACACGTGCTGACTGAAAGTATGGTATATACTTGTATGTGTATGGGTGTGTATATGTATGATTTCCTTGGTATCTCCACAATAACTGTTTGTGTGTTTTCATGTGAGTTGCCTTCCCACCTCCTTTCCTTCCTTACATCCTTTCTCCTTCTTCTAACCTTATTCCTTGCTTTGTCGCTTCTTTCTCTTTCTTCTTCTTTTACACCTCCTTTCTGCCTCTTCAACTTACTCCTCCTCATTACATGCGTCGCTGACTGAAGGCGGATAGCAAGCGTGAGTCGCGCACTTCCTGCAAAGAAACCGACAAAAAAAATCATGCAATGCAAAATAAATAAAAAAGTACACTTTGTAATTTATTTGAATTCTTTCCCAACTTTCAGCAGTCAGCAGTCAAGTAAAGTTTTATCGTTTCCTCCCTCTTTCTTTTTTTTTGCGTGCTTTCCACACTTAAATTATCCTTGAATAAAGCTTATTTTGAAATTGACACACTCGGTAAGCAGCTACTACGTTTTGTCAATCAGTATGAGTGCATTGAAGCATGGCAGTAATAGCGGAAATGATAGCTTCATTAAATTTTGCTTGTGTTGAAGTGGCTGTGTCGTAGGCTTTTCTTCTGATTAGATTACAAATCCTAAATTTATGCGCACTTGTACAGGGTGTTCAACTTTTCGGCATGTTGCAATCTTTACTCAAAAAAAATTATTCGATATTGGCTTCCTCAAAGAATATCTCCTAGATATCTCTAGCTTTCCACATTTTAAAGTACTAATATACATATAGTGTGTGTTTTTTGGAGATATAGAAATTCCCAGAGGACTAATTGTCAAACCAGCTGTCAAAATTTCTTGGAAACCAGCTTGGAAATTTCTAGGTAATAAAATATATATGGTGCTTTTTTTAAAGATACAGAACTTTCTAGAAGCAAACTGTCAAAGCAGCTGTCAAAATAAACTCGCAGGTTTAGCATTAATGTCTCTAGCTGTTTCTAACTTTCAACATTTCATTGTACTATGTTAACATCTATATGGTGTTGTTTTTGAAGATATAGAAATTCCTAGAAGGTTAACTGTCAAACCAGCTGTCAAAATAAACTCATGACTTTGACATTAATGTCCTCAGATGGTTCTAGCTTACCAAAACTCAAGGTACTAAAATACATATGTTGTTTTTCAGAGATTTAGAATTTCCTAGAGGGCTAACTGCCAAACCAGCTGTACCAGATAAACACATGTATTTGACATTTATGTTTAGTATACTTTGGCAATTTATAAGGCAAATACTTAGACCGTAAAAACGTTTTAAAATTATGGCAATTTGTTTTAAGGACTTGGCAAACTGTTTTAGTATCAAATCAAATGTATCAATTCATCGTACGAAACTAAGAATAAATACTCCATTCGGAATGCAAAAACTTCTGAGAAGCCTTCTTTACTCTATTTCGGACAGGAGAACTTATTGACATGCATAAGACATTGGCCTGTTAAATTACTAACTAGGTATTTTAATATAACTCCAAAATTTTCAGCTTCGCATGATCATTTGGAAATCAAAATTTATGTATTTTTTAAACAAAAATATTAGCTATTGTATTTCACACATTTTTCTGTGTTTTACTAGTAAAAAGTTTTATACCTCTAAAACAAACACCCTTTTAACGTATCTACAATGGTAAACAATTTAAATTTGGGAAACCACACTTTCTAGGCAACTCGAAGATCTGATTTTGTTTTTTTAATTCATTTGTTACAACAGTTAGTCGGTTTTAAATCATCTCAAACCATATAACAGTATTTTAATAAATAAAAATAGCACAAAAGTGCAATTAGAGTCAATGCACTCTTTAGTGCTGAAAATCAACACTGTTTTCCCTTAAATTTTTCTCATTAACTGTACTGTAAGGCAAGTGCATGCTTCTTACTGGCGAAGTGTGTATAATTTATTTTTGTTCTTACTAACTATGTATCTCAGGTGGCTGCAAGCACTTAAGCCGCTAAGTTCACTTGCTTGTGTTTATCTCGGCTTTGCTGCGGCTTATGTACTTTGGCAATTTCACCATCACCTGCCACATTTCACCTCAATTCCTCATGAATTCACTTAAGTACTGAATTAATTCATTGCATAAGCTCCTCAGGCACTTACACCTTCAATTGAGTGCATTCTCTATTTACATACATATATGAATGTTATATAGACACACAAACTGCATATGTATATGTATAGCACTTGCTTACCTCATCTTCGGCTGGCATAATGTCGATGCACATGAAAGGATCCCGGAAGTAAGCGCATAATTTGCGTGGACGTATGCGATGGTGGGTGCGTTGTTGCTGACAACATAAGCCCCTGAAAGAAATTGCAATACATGAGTTGCTTATAAGTACATTATGTAATGAGGAAATTTATTTTAGGAATCTATAGAATAATTTTTTGAATATGTTATACTTATATGTAATTGTAGTTGTGGCGTGTTGATCGAAGTGATAGAGTAGAGTTTGAAATTTCTTAAGTCGACGTTAATTAAAATTAAATTACCACTGAGTTAAACGAAAATATATGTTATCTTAAATACCATACTATATTTTTAGTTTTTAATTATATTAAAGTAACTACTAAAGACTAATCCACACTAGGAAAAAATATCTAACATAGCTTAAGTCGATTAAAACCAGTTATATCCACTTGCAAGTCCCAAAAAACGAGTTTTATTGTGGTTTTTTTTAAAGTAGTTTTAAATGTTTAAAATTAATTTAAAAAAAATGTTGGGTTCCTTTGATTTCCAGGCGGGCCTCCGAAAACAGGTGTCTAGCGTTAAGGAAGATTTTTCTGCTCAAAATTATTTTTAATCTTAAAATTCAAAAATTTATTATTAATACAAATAAGTACAGGTAATGATCGAAGGACTAGTCAAAATTTTGATTTTGCTACACAAAAAATTGTCGTTTTTGTGGAAAAGTTTACACTTCAGAGTGGCTTAAGAAATTATGAAAATATTGTCCAAAATCTTATTCTTTCAATCATTAGCTGACAAATATATCTACGAAGGTTGTGTGAAAATTTCAATTTGATTGGTCCGGTCGTTACGGAAAAAAATTCCTCAACAACTCTGAATACAGCGTTTCGAGAAAACCGCGTTTGGCAGCCGACTCCACTTAGTAAAAAAATTCTTAATAATACGTTGATATTTCCAAAACTATTTGCGCGATCAATTTCAAATTCAAATCGCGTTGTTGTTATAATGATTCTGAGGCAGCAGAAATAATCGGCGAACTCAATCTTGTGATTTTCATTCTTTATTTATATTCTGCTAGAGAAATTGGCTCTTAGGGCCTTCGGTTTTGCTATATATAACTTAAGTCCGATACTGCTTGCCAGTTTGACTAGGTTAATAACCTTTTGTTACATATCGGAGAGTTTGTGAGATAAAAAAAATATATTAGGATCCATATGATGTCTGTGACCGAGTTTATGGAGTTTTGCAACACCAAAATTGACCCATCCGACCGTAGGCTTTTATTTCGGCTATCTACTTGTAATACTACTTGGATTGTTAAATTGTAATGGCGAGGAAAAGAGAAGAACTAGAGCAGACATGCTGTTTGTTGTACTCAACTTTTATTGCTAGCTTCTGCAGTAACACAGTTAATGACGTCCGTTCCATAATTTCCGTGTCTTATTTTATGCTCCATTGGTATCCCAAAAGACCAACAAGTATATTTCCGCGATACTAATCTAACCTTACCTACTTGCGCTGGAACAATGCTTTATTTCGCTCATAAAAAATTGCAACATTCGCCTTTTATAGCCAATATTACATGTAATATTTAATATCAACATCTATACTGCCAGTAATATTTATATAAATATACATACACATACACACATACTAATATGTTTCACTTACTTGCTCACATTACAATCGCTCGACGATATACAATCTTCACCAAATTGCTTCGTATTCAACGTCAACTTGGGAGCTGTTGCCATATTTGCGCCAACATCAAAGCCAACAGCGTTATTACTAGCAGCTGCACTGCCGCCGAGGACGCCACCATCGCCTACACCAATACCAGCAGCGCCAACGACACCGTCAACCGCATTCAATAGATGAGCTGTAGATGCACTCGGTTGACACATCAGATTACCAGCTGCGCTCTTCAGGCATGACATGCCCAACTTACAGTCCGTATTACGATGACAGAGATCGCGTTTACGCCCATAAACGTAAATGCATTTACCTTCTATTAAAAGAAAAAATGTCGATAAAAAAAGAGCGTGTAAGTAAATTTTGAAATTTTATGGCGCGCGGTGACCTTTCGTACCATAGAGCTGCGATATATGTATATTAAGACATCGTCAACGCGCGCGACACATATGTACATTTGTATATTTGAATATATATGTGTGTTGTTGTTGCACTTACCACCGTACGTATTGACACAGACACCTGTGGGACAGCAATCATCATTGACCTGACAAGCGCGATTCACGCACGGTGTATCCTCTATTAACGGTTCCACGATGCCATATATCTCCGTCTGCTGCCAGAGAAACATGTGTATGTGAGTGTGTATGTATTTTAAAGAGCGAGAGGGTGTTTATGCGTATATAAATATGTATGTATATTAGGGTGTCCGTTATTACCCAACTTGATTTTATTTTTGCACACACACCCTGAAGTTTACATTTTTGCGCCATAAAAAAGGATCTAACATAAAAAAGCTATTACTGTAAATATAATATAAAACGTCCTAACTCATATTTCTTTTCCCATGTACACATATAACATAAGATGTTTTGTTATTTTGCTTTAAACAAGTAAAGCTGAAACCTTGAAAAAGTAATATTCTAGTAATACATTTTTCGATCTATAAAAAAGGTCTTAATAATTTTTTCCATAAAACCACTGCCTTAAAAGTTATACTCAGTAAAGGTATGCATCAAATGTACTGAGCTTTTATACAACTGTCTGATAAATTCTATGTTGCTTATACGACACGGTGTACTGTATGAATACCACATAGTTGAGGCAAAACTTTAACTGTGTATAAAAAAAATATATATATAAATATAAAAAAAAAATTATTGAATTAATTAATTTTGTAAAGTGGAAAATTTTGTTTTAGCATATCATTATTTTAAAGTTATGCGCTTTTTTGTTTTGGAGATAAAAAATTTATTGCAAAAAATCCCATGTAAAATGTATGGGAAAAGTAAAATGTTTTAGGCACGGTTTAAATTGAAAATACAAGTAAAGAGCTTGCTCACGTCGAAATTTAGGAAATAACGGATGCCCTAATATCACCTTCACGTGTATGTAAATGACATGTCATATTTTATAAATAAATATGCTCGTCGGTTTATGAATATATATAGTCTGAACGCACACATATGCACATGCTCACATGCATGTATTAAAATTCAATTTGCGATGCTACCACTTTCTACGCCCACACAAGCATCGCAAATGCAACATTACATTTGCCATTTGTGCCACTAATTGAGTTGGATGTCAGGAGCAAAGTTGAAAGTGGTGAAAACGGTAAAGCCTTATCTGTTTATTGCTGTGACCGTCCTACATGGCGTATGAGTGATGTGCAATTTCATTGCGCAGTCACCGGTTGCTGTAGCTGATGCGCGACGAAGCAAACATTTAATATTTGCAATATGAATGCATTTAATTAGAAGCGCATAATTTAGTATGTATATATTCACGCATGTTGGTAAACAATTACGACCGAACTCACTGGAAAATTTTAGAATGCATTGCTGGAGGTTGTACGTGTAATTTGTCTATAAAATTCGTTGTGAAAGTTGAGGTGGGCAACGAAGGTAGTTTTAAATAACTTTTGGTTTAATTAAAATATGTAAGTAAGTAATGAACGAAATTCCGTCTAAAATAGTGCAACCACATTAAGGTCCTGAATGATTATAACTGGTTGAAAAAAACTTATAACAAATACTAAAAAATTTTTTTTTTTTTGGAACAAATATTAAAAAAATTTTTTTTGTTTATTTTACTATATTAAGGTTTTTATTTTAAATCTGTGAAATTAAGTGATATTGGGCTACTGGGATATTCAGGTCTAGTAGTTTGGAAAAATCGAAAATGTCTTTTTTTTCGATATTATTCTTCTACTTTATTATATATTATTATTTCGTTTGTATATTCATAATTAACTTTTCAAAAGCATTTTTCAAAATTCTTATTAATTTCAAAGTTATAGTCATTTTGGTGTCGTGGCTTCACGGCCGACTTGAGCGTACAACGAAGCTTCAAAGTCGTTTTTCTCGGAATTACTTTTTCATTGTAGTCGCCACTATATATCAAATTCTAATCTGTCGATTAACTTCAAATTGAGTATGAATATCTCGCATGAACTAACAAGAACGGAAAATTTACAATTTGTAATATTTTTAAAAATGAAAGAAAGTAGAAAATTAGTAAAAAATCTACCTGTATTTTTGAATGTCTTTTATTTTACGAAGACAAAATATGATTTTGTATTTACTGATACAAAATATATTTAAATTACTGCGTCGAACTATTAACAAAAGGCTTTCTTGAACGTCTCGCGTTTGGCACATATTTTATGCCGATTTGTAAATTTTTTGGTAGGTGGCAACTCTAGTCCAAAATTTATTTGTTTGCGAATATATAATGAAAAAAATATATTCTCGCCCTATTTCTATTATTTTAATTTTATCTTTTTAGAAATTTGGCAACTCTATACATAAATATAACTAAATTAAAGATTCTTAGTATACTTTCCGTTTGACAACTGTGATGTATTAGGTTTTGCATCCCTATATCTTGGTAATCATAATTAGTTCTATATGCATCACGAAAAATCAATTAAGTTTCGAAATTTGTTTATAGCTATATTTTCTTGAATGCAACCAAAAAGCTTAGAAATTCAAGCAGACAAATTTCTTCTTTTTTGTTCAATCAGTTACACAACTTCTTTGTTGTTGTTGTAGGTCTTTAATATGAGGTTTGGAAACGTTAAACATTTCAGTAATTGCAATTGCTAAAATTTTGTCTAGAAATTAAAAAAAAATAAAGTTATGAATTCTCCAAATCCTGTTTTAATTCTTAAAATGATTTTTTTGTGACTAAAAAGTGATGACCAAAAATTACTCAAATTTAATTAAAAGTTAATTACTGTTATTAGTTGAAACACTAGAAATAATTTTTGCTTTACAATACGAAAGAATGTCTCAGGTCATTAAGTTTTTTTTTTGCAAAAATTTAATTTCTAATTATAATTTTGCCGACTTATCAAACTGTGAATTTACCAAAATCTAAACCAAACAAAAATAAAACGTTCTAAAACAACAATTAACAAAATATGAAATGCCAGTAAGCTTAAATTGGAAATCAAAATATAACCCACATATAATATTATGTCAAAATTAAATGCATTTTAATTGAATTTTAATGCCGACGCGTATATGTGTGTTCGTGTGGGCGGACAAGATAACTTCTTAAAAACAAATCGATTGCGAATTTCATTTTATTTTGCTTCAATGTGAAATCGAAATAAATAACTAAATGTTCATATATTATATATATATATATATTAGGGTGGGTAAAAAAGAGATTGTTTTTTTACTTGGTACTCTGGAAAATTGGTTAATAGACACCTCTACGTCCTCCACCTAACGATTTTCTATTTTTTCTTATTATCAGATAGCAAAACTCATATCTCGCTTCCAATTATTTGAAAAAATATTTCGTTTTGTGTTCTTCAAAAAAAGTCGATTACGATTTTTTCGTAAACCTAACCATTTGAAAGATATTAACGGTTGAAGTTTGACTCTTTTAGGGCAATTTTTTCTTTTTTTTTTTTGAATTTTATAACTCAATGCAAAAAAATAATTTTAAATTGCAAATCTAATAGTCTTGTAGGAAATTTTCGTATATACAAAAATGGTTTGTAGAATTTTTCGAATAAGTTAAGCGTTTACGAGATATTCATCGTCAATGCTTGGTTGGAAAACTCAAAAAAACAAAAAAAAGCAAAGAGAGAGAAAAGCGGAGACCATTAGTATAGAGCAGTAAATTTTCTATAAGACTATGAGAAATATTTTTTCAAGCGAGTTGTGAATTTTTCTATCTGATAATAAAACAAAAAATTGAAAACCGTAAAGTGAAGGTCTTTCCAGTTACAATTAAGAGCTCATACTTACTTGGAGTACCTTTCTTAGAGGTCTATCAACAAATTCTTCAGAGTACGAAGTGAAGAAAACATTAGTTTTTTTGATTCACCCTAATATATATATATATATGTATTCTGATTCTCATGATAAGTAAATATTATACATATTAGTGCAACTGAGCAGGCATGTTTGCATTCTCATCATATTAATTAACTTTTGCAATGAAATTCAATGAATTGCCGTAAATATTGTGATGACTTGCCACATTCAATTTCAATATTAAATTCATTTGGTATGTTTGAATTAAAATCATTTGATTTCCCAAAAGACTATGTAAAATTAAAGACATAAAAAGTTATGCATATGTATGTATGTGTTATATGGATTTTTGTTAATTAAATAATGACAAAGCAAACTAGTCTTCCTTGAAGATGGCTGGAGCTAAGGACCAACAACCCTTGTGAGTTGTTAGCAATTTAAGGATAATGAAATAATTTGAGAAAATCTATGATACTTATATATACGAGTGATTTAACTACTACTAAAGTTAAATCATGCCGCTATTTTCAGTATTCCACTTTCACATGCAAACGAAGTGCTTCCGTTTGAAAATCGTGAGAGGGATATGTGGGTAGAGGAACATTCGAGGGAGAGTTTTCTGTCAAAAGCACTCCATTAACTTTAGCTTCAGGATACCAAAGTACTGTAGTATTTTTCAAGCAGAAGAGGCTGCAATTAACGTAACAGTAGAAACACCTGCACCTTCATTCAGAGAGTTGTACATTCAATCGCACAGCAAAAAGCAACAGCATTAGCAATAGTATAAAGTTACATTGATACCAGACTATTTTGAGTGTCTGTTTATAGCAGAATTGCTGGAAATTGCAAAGCTGATGAGCTCACAATGAAAGGCATCTTTGCCCCAATAGAATCAGACTGGGTCAGTCTTCCGCTGGACTGTTGCATTTTAGCACTGGCGCTGTGCATCTTGTTTAAGCTCAGAAATCGTTAGTCAACAACCAGCACCTATGTAAACGTTATACTTTTTTGCATCAACGTGAAACAAACGCAATGATAGGAGTTCTCACTGGATACTGTCTTATTGGGTCTCACGCGGTACATCTTCCACTGTCCAACTTTTGTTAGATTAAGGTTGAAGCATATCGGTAGTCATACTTTTCACGAACCAACCTCAAGGCGCTTTATTGATATTCGACAGTCTTTTGATCACAACGAAATTGCGTTTCTTGCTGTCCAAGTGGTGTCATTCTTGACTTTACGTGTATCAGTCGGGTTACTTAGTCTAACTTTATGTGTGAAATTTGATTAATAATATAAGCTTATATATTTTTGCATAATTTTGCTACTCTTTATTAGCAAACACAAAATTTTATGGGAAATAATGAAGGTTTCGCTAAAGGATTTTGAAATGAGACAAAATACAGATTGCAATGTTGTTGAAAGTCCTTGCAACTGAACTAAATAGCCACTGTTATACTACAGTAATATACTGACTATTTGCTATCAATACAACCAATACTCTAGGGATAACAAATTTTCCCAAGAAAAGTCCATAAACAGCTGTTTCGATGTGAAATACAAAGTTTTATAAATAAAAAAAATCATTCGGTATGCAGGAAAGTTTAATTGAAAACATTTGGTTTGTAAAAACGAAATCATATCAATTTCATTGGGTTCCTGGAACATGCCCGGTACTCTTTTCTATCTTAAGCTCTAGTTTTTATTCGGAGGCCTGGTACAATCAGTTTTCTAGCATGATCTAAGTTAGAATATACCATCATTATATGTAGACGAAATCTATATTTTTTCCAATTAATCCAAATATTTTTTCTTATTTTTTTTATTCCGATACCCCCGTTTTCGTCATTATGTTGCCTAAAGAAGCTTTCTGTCTGTGGGAAGCATTTAAGAGGATATGAACCTGTATTGACTGCTTAAGGTCTAAGACAAGCGAAAAGTCAGTATACCTATATTATTCTTCTCCTCCGTAACTTATATAAATAATTTCGACCAATTTTTTCAAATGATTGAAATAAAATTTTTCGATATTTTGAATGGAGCTTTGTATTATAATTTGTCGTTCTATTAGAGGAAAGAGTAATTGTACTTCTACTACCTATTAAATCATAAGGCATAAAGTAAGGTTTTGCCATTAAGCGGAGACGAAGTGCTGCTCAGCCATGTGTCCCATCGATGAAAACAATTGGTAATCGAAAGGTGCCATGTCTGGTGAATAAGTCGAGTGGGATAGCAGCTCTCAGTTAAGTACTTTGACACAGAGTTTTGCCATCTTACCGAATCGATCTGTTTTTGCAGTCGATGTTCCAGATTAACCCATGATTTTATGCGTTAAGGATTCTTAAAATAAATCCAGTGACAATTCCATGCAAAACTGATTTTCTTTCATATCTTTGAAGCAACATTTCACAAGTGTTTTTTCGGTTTTCCCCTTATCTTTCATTTAATTCATGTGGCAGCCATTTTCCACACTTTTGAATCTTTCCCATAGCTTTTAAACGGTCTGAAATTGTTTGTTGTGCATTGAACATGGCTGCCATTTCCTTTTGACTCAAACTGTCGTCTTCATCCAATATTGCTTGCAGTTCATTCAAACTTTTTAGGTGGTCTTCCTCGTTCTTCATATCTTTTTAAAATTTTCGGATTGAAAAAAACTCTGAGGGAGATTTATTTTACGAAATTTTATGTTCTAAAAGAATCCACGTTATCAAAAATTTTAATACCATATAAACGGTTATTTATTGGTAATTTTTATAACAAAACATTTTTTTGTATTATTTACCTTTTAAGAATAAGCTAAAAATCCTGCCTTTCAGCGATGATTTTTCTCTGTACACAATCTCATTTCAACCTCTAAATTCCATAATTATCAGTTTTTTGGTTCATTCTAATTTATCTGTAGCTCAAATAGCTTTTCAGATATTTATATTGAAAATATTGAAGGTTGGACACGCCCTTTTTGTAACTTTAACTCAGCATATGTCCTACTTCAATTTGTTGTTTTTTCGCAGTCTATCTAATTAGAGAGTTATTGTATTTTATATACATTTTAATAACACCAATTGGTAATGCCCTAATTTCATCGATTTATAATTTGCTACCTGTCAAGGCTGCCAAGAAACACTTGCACCAAGTCCTTATGCTATTTTAGATTTTATTCCGCACTGACGAACGAATTATATACATATGTTTATATAATTCAGTGTTTTATATAATTCTATGTATAGATCGAATAATTCGATTCGATCGAAACCATAAGGACAACGTATTTTTGGGGCGTATGAATTGCCCAAAATCAAAAAAAGCTTGATAAAAAACGGGTTTTGATTTATATCTGGAATTTTTGGATGGATTAGAGGTTTGTCGCAGTGTGATCTCCGTCGAGGAGATTAGCGCCTAAAGCTAACTTAAGCTGACTTAAGTCTCAAGGGCTGCCCCGCGTTCAGTGGGTTCACTTCACCGCCTTGATATTTTCCAAATAATAGATAAGGTTACCTCAAAGTTATATCATATCGGTAATCTCTATTTTTTGATTACTTTATTTTCACTTTAACCAGATAATTTCTGGTGAGTGGTTGCTTCAAACATTTTTAATTATTTTAAACATCACGAAGAGTAACAAGTTGAACGGCTTTAGACCAGCTTTAGATCCGCTTAAGTTTTGCTAACTAATCTAATCTACCAATTCAACAAAAATATTTTTTTTTTTTCGCGCAAAATTCGCCAATGAATACTTTTCAAATACACCTACTTCCCCCAACTTGTGTCCGCTTGCATTTTATCAAATACTTTACAGCACTTCAACTTTTCGCCAACCCCTTTGTTTTAATTAGTTATTTCTTTCGTTTCCATTTGCCTTTGTTCTTAAGTTTTTACAAGACTTTTGTGCAAGCAACTTTTTAACCTCAGCACTTGGCTGCCACCAAGCCATGACAACACTTTACAAGTTTAGTGGCGAAAGGTGCATTGCAAAAAAAAAAACAAAAAAACAGAGGCATATCAGCAACTTTTGTATTAGAGTTTCTACAACTCACTTTAATTACTTTCATTGCGCTGCAAAACTTTGCAACATTTCCACTCTTAAGCGGTGGTTTTTCACATGAACCCTCCGCCGGATATTGCGTTGTATTTTGTTGCTTAGATGACAAAATGACGTTGTAATATGCAACTCACCTGTTGTTGACCACCAAAACCACCTGTGTCCACATCATAGCCCGCGCCGTAGTTGGCGTAACCAACACCACCACCACCGCCGCCGCCATTACTAGCCACACTTCCGCCATGCAAGTTCATATCGTTACCGAGGCCGAAGAGTGCATTAAAGTCGTCAATTTGCTGCGCATTGCCAGCACTTCCGCCCAGGCCGGTTACACCGACCCCACCACCAATCGACACATCAGCGTTGTTGCGCAGCCAGCTGCGGGAGTAGCGATTGAAGAACTGTCGATTCCAGGCGTCGACTGTGTCGCCCAACAGCAGTACGGCGCCAACACCGGCCAGCAATAACCAAATCAAAGTGGACTTCATAGCGTCGTTGTGGGTAAAGTAGTTTCACCGCTGCTAGTGGGTGTGTGCGTGTATCAGTGTGGTCCTGTTTAGCGTAAAGTGTTGGAAAATGTGCGAATGTGGCTATACACGCTGACGCTCACGGCTTTAACTGCGCCACTACCATATGGGCTACTGAGTTCCACATGTAATAAAAAGAAGAAACAGAAAAGAGCGAAAAAAATTTAAATTTAATATAATTTCATTTAATTTTATTTCACTTCAGCAAATACAATTTTATATGCATTTTATACTTTTATATGCGTATAAAAAATTAAGAAGCTTATGCGCAAAATATGTAAAATTTATACCACTGCACTAATACCGTTATAAAATGTGAAATTTACGCCAAACTCACTAAAAATTGAATTTGATTTACGTTCATAAGGTGCACAAATATTTTGTTTGCCTCAGTGAACAAGAATAAAAACATGCAATAATGCCTAATGCTGGGTGAATTATTAAGAAATTGAAATAAAATAAGAATTTTCCATATTAAAGCGTTCAATGAACCAACGAGTATACTGAAATTGTCAATATAAGCATGAGCTCAACCAAATTCTCGTAATTAATAACTTGTATATATAAATATTAAAACATTTAATTTAAAGATGTTCGTTCGATACGAAATGTTTTATTGAAGTGAACAAAAACTGTTTTTAGTATGTAAAAATAACAATGGTAAAGAGTAAGAGATGTAATACATAAGTAAGTAAATTATGTACATATACATAGTATTTGATTTGCTCTTTCAGTGGTGTGAACTATAACTAACAATCAACAATTATCTTGATAGTATTAAAAGGACATGAGAATGGAAGCACTACTGCGCAGAGTAATTCTTTGATGACAAAGAAACACTTCGTAAGGACCTTAGTCATACCTGTCATAATAGTGCGAAACAATGTGCTAGTAAAGGATAAATAAAAGATGTGTAACCTCCGATATATTAACTATAGATAATTAATAAACTGTGGTCTAATCTTGCGCCTCAAGAAATTATGATGATGACCTCGTTATATGCTAGCAAAAGTTTGAAATTCAAGCTGACTGCTAACACAGCTATGGTGCTCTGCTAAAATTATTACGTAGCCAGTTTAATAGCGTATACGAAAAGATTTTCATTGGTGTCTTACATTATAACCGAACCAAAGGCAGAAAAAAATCTATCTAACTTGTTAATATTGTGAATGATATTTTATCGAACCACTACTATCCTTAGTTCTACCTTTACATTCAAGATCATATTTGATCCGAACAGGTCTATATAAACAGCGCAAAAAACGATTAAAATTTTATTCCTAGATTGTGGTGGTGGAGCGATGACTCTCGTTTCGTGTTTAGTCAAAAAGTCAGTCACAATCATACTGGAATGGGATGGCGCATTCAAGTGTTTTGGTACGAGTTAAGCATTTACACGCTCAATATCTAAAACATTAACCAAAATGTATTGAGTTGATGCATAAAAGGTATTGAGAGCCTCTGCTATCTCTTTGATGGCAACACCACATTTTCAAGCACTGTTTCTTTAGCTTAATCGATGTTATCGTTAATAGAAGAGGTGGGTGCACGACTTGTATAAGGCAAGTTTTCGATGACTTCGCGATCTTCACTGAATGCTTTGTACCAACCAAATATGGTACTTGTGTTCGTGATAAAGTACTAGACTCTCCAAAAGCGTCTGTATAAAGCGGTATATTAGAAATACACAAAGTTCCTACCTCCACTTGATAGAAAGGACTGTAGGAACATTATTGAAGTACTTACTGGTTATAGTGGTATGAGGCAATGGAAGAGATGTCGATAGTGAAGCCGCAGAACCTATTGATTTTCGCGTCAAGCGCTTTCATTCTGAAGGATGACTAATTCTCATGAACTACGTAACGGCACTACATCAGACATCACTAAGGTCCTAAACGTGGCTCATTAGCCTATCAGACCAACCTAACCTAACCTACCTACTAAAATTGTATTGAAGCATTTCGCGCATTAAGCGATATTTACATCAATCAAAGGGTTAGAAATATATGTTTATATATGAGCGTTGAAAGGACCGATTTTGAACTTTTTTAGTGTCCTCATTCTGTTGTTAATTAGTTGTCAATACTTCTGTTATTAACTCTAAAGCGGACGGGTTGCCATATATATGGCGGCCTATAAAAAGTGGGCGTGGTTGGAGCTCTGATTATACAGTTTTTGAAACTGTACAATGGAGACGGTATAATAATGTTATGCACTGAACTTTTTAAGATCACGTAATACTTTGGGCTACCACTTGTTCAAGTATTATCGCACTTCAGAGATCAAAGTAAAGCAAAATTATAATGCATACCAACTTTGTCATTGTAATCAATTCCTTTACCATTTCCTCTACAAATTTGGGTAACAGTGTATTATAATCAGGGATGTGCATATTTCATTACTCCACAAATGAATGAACCAAAGCTTGTGTTAGCATATACATAAATGAATATTGTTAACAAATTTTGAAACGCCAAAGGAGAAATCTGTTCATAAGAATCTGCAAATTCACAAAATTTCCATTCACAATTTCATACGCCTGCGAATTATCATAAATTATTGCCGTTAAAAGCCTTTTGAATAAACACTGTTTATGCATTCACATAAAAATCGACCGTGTACATTGTGGGCGGCATAATTTTGCTACCTTCTGGCGGCGCCTACATGTATGCTAGGGTACTTAACAGTTAACGCACTCAAGCAGCGCAGAAATCATTTCTCCTATTCACACGCCTGTTGCTTCTCAGCTCAGAGTGAAAAACGAAAAAGAAAACCAAAACAAAATCCAATAAAATTACAAGCACTTTTGCATGCGTAAAGAGTTATGAAAACGCCATAAAAGTATTCTGTTTTGTTACATAAAAGTAACGCAGAAAATTTTACAGCGCTTAACGTACCTTCATGTGTATATAGATACCGCTAAGTTGGGGTTCAAGAACTCTACGCTGGTCCACAGAAATGCCAAGTATTGTAAACACAATAAAGAGAACTTTGCAACTGCTTAAATTCATCCAGTCGGGCACTCCTTCGCTCAGGGCGGCTAACGGCAACAAATAAATGTGTGGTTTAATGGCATGGCAACAATGTTTGTTTAAAGGCAAATGTAAATTTAAATGCTTGCCTGCAACATTGTTTACCTTAACCCAGACTATTTCTCCGACATATTCGCCATATTTTAAATTTCTTTTGTTTTTTCATGCCTTCGCTCACTCTTATGCTGGCAGTTAGTACTTGTTCTCTGCTTCTTTCAACTACTTTCTTGCCATCTGGGGGTTTGACAAAGTCTTGCGGCGTTACTTTAAATAAATATATGCAAAATTTCTATATGCTCTTTCCTTAATGCGTTTGTCTTGTTTTGGCTTTAACTCAAGCTAACTAGCGACAGACTATGAGTTTCTTCCTGCTTATGTTTTTGTGCTCTTGTAGTTGGTGTCGGGAGATAGGCGAAAGCTATGACTATGCAAAAAAGAATAATTTTCTACCTGTATATTCTCTTAACTCTATATAACAAAAAAAAAAAAAGCATGGCTTTATTCTATTTATCCAGTTGCCTTCCAGGTATTTATATTATATTTGCCTGGTTTGTTCGGAGCTTGGTACATACTTTATTTATTTTATAAATGCTTCCAGCTAATTTGCAACATCGTTACAATTTTTTTACTTCTTTAAGAGCAAATATTCAACATTTTGCATTTGTATTTTTTACTGTCATATAAACTTATCGACCAAAACTTGTTTGTTGGAAATAATTGGTTATTGAATACTTTAATATTTATTGAAATGTTCTAAAATTAATCAAATTATTAAACATCTATTTTCCAGCTAAGAATAGTTATTTAAATTTTTTTAACTTTGATTTAACTTTATTTAACCACATTTTTGGTATCTAAGGCTGACTATTTGTAAAAAGTAACCGACATTCTGTGAGATATATTATTAAAACATTTAGAGCGAATTTCACCGGTTTCGGTCACGGTCGGTTTGCACATTGCAAGAGTATACAATTACTTATCTCATTCTCACTTGTTTATTTTAATATATATTGTTTTCTTGTTCAGCTCGAAATTATTAATACTTTTATCAGAAATAAGTGGGCACTGCATAAATGAATTTAATATTTTCTGGCAACTGGCACACACTTTTTTTTACCTTCATTACCTTTGTTGGTTCTATAAACTTAATTTAGAATATTTTACTAAATTTTGCATCTGTACCAAGAATATCGTTTTTAAATGCTATTTTTAGCACTCATCCTGTACTATTTTTATCAGCGTTAGTTGGACGGTAATTCAGCTTCAAAATGTGTTAAAATTGAAGATTTTCTCAAATGTCTTACTTTTTATTTTTGTATAATATTTTACCCAGTGTAAGTTTTTTTTAAAGGTGGCAACATTGTTTTGATATGTTTCTAAATAAAACAATTAAGGAAGGGCTTAGTTCAAGTGTAACCAAAAATTTTATACGCAAAGTGAAAGGCGGGGAAATATTTGCAGGTGTTGCCAAACTTTGTATTAAAAAAAGTTGCGAGACATTTCAACCTATGAAGAAACATCAACCAAAGGATGGGAAGTCCGAATTTCATTCTGGGCTAACGAAAAACGTTTTATGTTAAATATGGCGGCAAGGAAAGGCTATAGATGCTGTTTGAATTTCATTAAACAGGCATTGACCAACACAGTTTACATACAAAGTAAAAGCGGATGTTTGAAAATCGTTATATTTGGTATATGGGGAATGCCCTGATTTCATCCATTTTAGGCAAGAGGATACACTGTTTTAAGAATGAGATTGTTTTTGACCTTCATTAAGATTTTTTACGTATTGATCGATAGTGGTCAATCGGAAGTTCGAAAATATTTATATTGCGTATATGGGAACTAGGAGTAGTTATTGATCCGATTTTACCGATTTGGCACAGGGGCCTCAACAAAAAAATATTATCCGCGGATTTAAATACTACAAGTAGATCTCACAGATTGATCAAGCAGCGATCGATACAAGAGGTTGTCTTTTAGTTGTCAAGTCGTCGAACGAGTTGTTTGAGCAGTAACTTGAATTTTTGAAGTCACATTACCTTGACTTTGTTCACTATTATTTACATTTAATAAACA